AGAAAGACACTGTAAAAAGGAAGCAATGTGCAGTGCGTTATATGGGCTACAAACATAAAAGTGACTGAAGTATGGAGGGAAGGGGATAGATTGGCAGCCTGCAGATGTAATAAGCCATTAAACCATTTAAGGGAAGCCTGCTGAGTTTGTTGTTCAATTACTGTTACTGATGAAGAATGTCAATAATTATGATTTTCAACCCTGCATGACATGTACATTTGTAAATCTTTCAGAGATTGTCTTTACTGAAACCTAGTGAGGCCACTATTAAGGAGCTAAGATGAGGCCCACAGTGCATCTTTTTACAAAAGAAACTTGAATTCTTTGAAGAGAATCTTATGCATCTTTTGTATTTTATGAAAGTGATTATTACCTGATACAACTGGATACAGCACTTTATCACTTCATCTATGATAATGGAGAGGAGTGGTGGTTTTGCCTATAATACAATGTCTGCATAACACTTTTGCCAGTGACTGAATTTCAGTCTCTGAGAGGCAGATCAGGTCAATTCTGTACTTGCCAGTTGCTAGCAATATGACACTATGCTCCTACCTCACATTTTTATTTATTTCTTTACCTTCTAGATTTAGAAAATTGATGTGTTAAATTAAACAAGAATTTAGATTAACCCTTCAAACCGTGGTCATGTGGGAGTGCCTTTGGCATCTCTTGTTTCACAGGTATATCCCTCATGATAATTAAAGTGGCCCTAGATGTTTGTCACTGTGATAAGAAAAGGTTAAAGGATTAATAAACTCTGGGTTTCTAGAGGTTCTCTGGGACAAGTTCATGTAATCCCACAAACCAACTTTTCTATAGCCCTTTTTTCCCAATGGAGATGACAAAACAATTAAGATGATAAAAAAAGGGAAATGAGGTAATTTTAAAATGCCATGTGGTAATTTGTCTGAAAGGCCTCGTCATTCCAGATTCATTTCCTATGCACTCGAATTGTATTGATCCTTATACCTGTGTTTGGCAATCAGATGGATATTACAGCTGAAATGTGTAAGTACTGGGGTTAAAGTTTAGCATAAATTATTGGAAACTATAAATAAGGTCTCACTCTGATTACAGTCCTTCATTGATATGTAACATAATAATCTGAAAAAATCACAGCTTAATTATAACTTCAAATAAGATTAATTTGTAACAACACTGATATTTACACTGGTTTGGTTTAGTATCAGGCAAAATGTCTATACCTATTGAATGGCCAGACCAATGCAACTTTGCTATTAGTCATTTTTTATGCTGGTGCAGGTGAGAGTAGAACCTGATCCCAAATTCTGAAAGGCTTATATTATATTAATTATATTATATTAACTCATAAAAATATTTTAATGAAAATATACAACATTTGAGAACCTTCGCTTCAGAGTTTGAAAAGATGCTTTTTGTGTCTTATACACCACCACAAATGCAATTTTTCACATTTTTAACCAGAATGCTGATGAAGACATTATCCTTGTTATGTTTCCTCAATAAATACTGTTGTAGAGACAGAAAGAAATTAGTTTTATTTTACTTCTTTTACAAAAACTGTTAGAAAAATATTTTTAAAAGGCATAATATGTTTTGTGTTAAATTTTGCCAATACTGAAAGATGCTGAAGGTTTCATTCGAGTGGTTTGGTGCAAAGTTCCCTCTTTCAACAAGCCTGTGTCTCAAACCCTGTTGTGCAATAGCTCAAGCTGCCAAGTATTTTGAAAAATAAACTGCCTATGTTGGACTCCTCTTAAGCAATCAGCTTTAATCCTCTAGAGAAAGGGTGAGCAGCTTTGTTCCTCTTCGTTGAAGTCTGGGTTAAGCTCCTTTGTTTCTTTGTCTATAATAATTTTGGTTCTTAGAGAAAGCCTTCCTTGTGCTAAAAGCTGTGCTTGGACACAGGGCATGTCCCAGCTCTCAGTGTGGTTGGTTTGTGTGTTTTTACACATCTTTAACCAAGCAGCCCTGGTCTTCATGAAGGATTCTGAATGCCATAGAAGAGTGGCTATACTTGGAGACTGGTTTCCCATTTACCTTGAACTGAGCTAAATCAGGGCAGTGCCAAAAGGGCTGCTCTTGCCCTTCTATCTCTGTCTGGAGACAGGTCTTTTGGAAAAGTAAGGATCACTTGGTGAATGGTTACACATAGCCTAAACTGGTCTATGCTGGGACTGGCACAGCTTCTAGGTGTGTTCTTGCTCCACACTTGCTATTGTTTCAGAGTCTGACTTAGCAGAAACTAATGACTTGTTTAATTTTGTAGTGTTTTCTGCCACCTTAGTGAGCTGGGTCATGCAGGAGGGAGCCCAAAGAGCACCTTTTCATCTGCCAAGAAGAAATGTAACATGCACATTACAATGTTCAGTATCTACTAGGATAGACCTTGACAAAGAGGGTATGAAACTGACAGCAGGAGAAACGTGTCTGACCCAGTCAGTCACCCTAGGACTTTCCTATTTTAGTTACCCAGTATATTTGCAAACACACTTCTATTAGTTTTTTTGCTTTTTTTTGTTTAAATACCTACCTTTCTCACCTGGGACACTTCTGCTCTCTGGTCTGGGGGCTAACAATGCATTTCCTTCTGCTGAGAGTCATCACAGACTCGCTGGGGTTGCCAGTACACACAGAACAGGGTTGCTAGAGGTGCTTTCAAACCTACTAACGGAAGAATCATCAAAACTGGTCACTGGGGGAAATGTTTTTCTCTTGGAAGTGAAGAGTTAAATCATGGTGGGTGCTTCCTGGCATGAAATGGAGTTCATGAGAAGAGGCTTCTGCAGGGGAGGGTTGTCTCTTTTTAGGAGTACATCCACTTTCTAAGCACTCTATCTCCTCTTGCTACCGGTCTTACAAGTCTGCAAAAGACAAGTATCTTTCGTAAGAACTGCAGCTGTTCCCTACCAGATTTGTGTAGGAAAGTAATACACCCTCCCTGTTTCCCCTCCAAAAAAAACCCCAAGCCTGTGAGAATATTGCTCCAGCAAAAGAATAAGGCCCTTGCTGAAAGAGAAAAATCTTACTCCCTTGCATGCGAGTTACAGGCAGCGCTTGGGTAAAGGGCTAATACCCATCAACATGTTTTTGATGTCACTGTGCTGTTCCCCTCTATTTGAGTTGACAGCTGATGCCAGGACTTGGCTGCATCTCCTCTGCACTGAGAGGAGGTTGGATGTCAGATGCAGGGAGAAGGAGCAAGCTTGGGCAGCCAGCCGTGAGCAGAGTGAAACAGTGAGGAGTGACTCTTTGCTCCAGGGCGTGAGGTGCCATTGCGAGCCTGACCTTTTGAATACAAAGCATTTGTCAGAAATCCAGAGGAAAGCGAGCTGAACCAGTCAGGGTGGCTCTGCCTTTCCTTTCAAGAGAAGCTCATGTATCCGAGCAGACACACCTACCCCCAGGCCTGACCCAGACACTGTAGGCAAGTATCTCTGTTGAAACTGGGGGCCCTGTGCTCCCTCCCATTAGCAGGAGAAATGAAATGCACACCCTTGCGTGGGATGTCTGCTCATTCCATTTGGCAGCCCAGTACCTCCCAGTCCAGCCAGGAGTTGTAAAAGGCCATCACGTTAAAGGCACTGTGTTAGGAGTGCAGACAGCTCTAGTGTGTGAATCTTTCTTGTGGTTCATTCTTTAGATGCATTCTTGTCCTGCACCTTGGAGCTGCAGTGCCCAGGGTCTGACACACAGTCGACCTGTGTTCACAGGTTCTTTCCCAACACCTCTCTGGCTCCCTGAGCCACAACTCTCCAGGGCAGATATTCCAAAACCTCATTCATTGAGCTCTGGAATCGCATGACAGAATGCCCTGTCATGCTCTCCCACAGGCAGGCCAGTGCAAAACTGTCTCATTGCCATGTAGGTTTCCAGCTTCACCTTGGTGGCCATGGCAGGAAGCTGAGTATGTGAATGGCGGCTCAGGGTCAGGAGAGGGGAGGTGAAATTTATGCACCCTAAAATCCCTGTCAGGGGTATTTTTCTGCACCATGACAGAGAGCTCTGTTCATTCCCCATCTGGAGATCTGACACACAACATGTGTGTCAGCCTGTGACCCATGCGTGATGGGTCACAGGCTGGTCTTTATGGCAGAGTGAGTAGGATGAACCATCCTTATGGTCCATCATGCCAAGTATGCTTTTTCCAGGAGCTTTTCCCCCTCCTCCTTTAGCTCTGCTTTAAGCTGCTGCAGAGCTGCACCCCCCCAGGGACCCTTGGAAGAATTCACAGGTTGCACACCAGGGAGCAATACATCAGCACATTCCAGTCTCACTTTTAGCTGTGCTTCTCTCCACTAAGCCCATCAAGCACGCAAATCTCCTCTTGCTGATTAATGAAGGCAGCACACCAACTGGGAAGGGCCCCCTCCTGTTTCCTGCGCCTTTCTTCAGCAGCATGCAGAACTATTCGCCTTCTAAGCTGACCCTCAAGGCCACACATTGCTGTCTGTAAGCGGTGCGGTGCTGAGGAGCAGCAGTTTCGCAAGACGGGCTGAACCCGGAGCTGGGTCTTTCTGGTCGCTTCGTGCTCGGCTCTGACATCTAGCGGGACAATCGCACTAAAGCATTTAAGACGCTGAGCAGAAAACATCAGGGTTTGCTTCGCTGCAAGGCTCACTGGAGCAATCATTCCATCTGTATGCTGCTTTCTTTTATTGCACTTAATACTGCCAGAGGATTTGCTGTGGAAGAATGGAGGAGGCCCCGACATGAACAAAGGGCAAATCCTTTCTTTTCCTCCAAAGATAAACTTCTTTTTGCTGCCAGGTGAATGGTCTAATAGCTGCAGCAGTGACAAACATCAGTTTCACAGTTACTTCTTGATTAACACCATTAAATGAAAACCAACTGTGACACAATCCCATGAGACCATAGGGTAAAACTGTCAGAGAGCTCATAATAAACCCTGTGAAAAATGCAAAATTGCTATGGGCTAAATTTTCCACCCTGTTTCTCAGAACACAGCTGTGCCACTTGTAAGTACAACTGTTTGCACATGCGACCCGCGCTCTGTTTTCACAGGTGAGAAAGGAGCTCTCAGTGCACGGAAACATTTTGTGTATACAAAGCAGATTTTTCAGCTGCTCAGCTGGAAGCGATGCACGTAATTGTCTTTCATAAGGAACTGCATAAATACCTCTTCTCAGCTGAGAGGACAAACATGTGGTTTGGAGCTCTTGGAAGGCTGTTGAATGTTTGCTATGCTGTTTGTGTAGGAGCTGAAAGCATTACGGTGACAGTGACGACAAAGATGACCAGCTGCTGGTGAGGTACAAAAGAAATCTTTATTTGTAACATTTAGAGACTGTGCATTTGTGGTGTTTGATCACCAGCACAAGCAAAATGAGTTTCTCATGGCCAGACAGCCCTGTGAGAGGTGGGGTCTGAGGGGCTCATGTCTGCTCAAACACAGGCTGGCAGCGGCTCTGGCATGCAAGTCACATCTTTACAAAAGCCAAAGCTCATTCTTTTAGCTCCTGGTTGGGGGCAAGGGCTTCCAACAGGGCACAGAGCATGGGGCAAGAATGCCTTAAATGGCCCCAGGAACTTCCAGCCTAGGGCTGGAGTACTCCTCAGAGACATGCTTCAAAGTGCCTGGTCAAGCAACCAACTAACCGTGGTAAGAAGTTACTGCTTGTCATCTGACTCTGCTTGTAAGGCATGTCTTACTTCATCACTGATGCCAACAGAGTTGATTATTGTGGGTGTGCTGATCCTTAGCAACTTACTAAACTGCTTTTGGCTGTGTGTCTAGACTCTACGAGTCTGATCTGAGACAGCTGAAGCAGAATTGGAGCCAAGGCTTTTGTACTCTTTGAGGCTGCTACTTGACTTTCCATCAAATGGGGCAGTGACATTCAGTGCCAGGGGATATGTGAAGTGCTCATGGTGTAGGGGGACAGGCAGTGTCAGAGAGCTCCTGCATCTCTGCTGCTAATGTGTTGGGCAGTGCTGCTGTCTCAGGGCCATGGCTTCTCCTGGTGGGTTTATTTAGTATTTGTACAGTTTGATCAGTGCACAAGTCTTAAACAAGGAATTAATTGAGATTTTAATAAATGGTCACTGCATGCTAATTGAATACCCACTTGATTATTTAAAAATATTATGTGAAGTTTGTGTAATTGGTTACACTGGTATTAAATTAGCATATAAAAATCTCCTGCAACTCTCATATGATTTAATGAGGCTGTTATCGTGCATGAATAAAATGGTGATTGATGAGTGAAAACCTCTTTTCCAAGCATGGAGTTTCTTTAATGAGGTCAGAATATTTCTGGCATGTACTGAGTTACTCATGTTATGCAGGTCACTTCTGGACAACAGTGACCCATGTGTATAATGAGGACTCTGGGACTGAAATGGAGTCCTAACTAACTCAGTGTGTGACTGGGTTTGGACCTGTGCTTGCAGAGCAGCTCATGAAATAAAAGGTCACTACTCTGTCCTGAACTCCTCTTGTTTTAATTGTCAAGTACTGAAATAGACTGAGCTGTAATTGAGGGTGCAAAAGAAAATCTAGAAGGCAAATCAGTAATCTGGAAAAGGAGGATTTGAAGCTCCTTCTCACATTAGTCCTGATGCCACTTCCATCTGGTGGATCAGGGCTGCCTCCTGTGTGGTCTGTCTTGCGTGTGCTGAAAACCCAACATCAGCTCAGCGACAGCCCAGCCAAACCTCCTTTCCTCCAGCTATAACTTCCATTTCCTACTGTTTTGGCAGGAGAAAGGTGGAATGTCTTAAAAGACTCTTTGATGGCCATTACAGGATTTGGTGGTGTGTTGAACTGAGTTGGGGCCAAAGTGTGTGGATGAAATGGAGCAAGTAGATGCATTAGACCATAGCCACTCTAGCAGTGTGTGTGGGAGAAGGGACATTACCCTGCAATGAACCCCCTTGCTAGGATGCATTAGGGTTCATTGGTCATTGGTGTAAGGAAGAACAGCTACATGGGCAGGAACTGAGGGAAGTTTGCAGGGGATGTCAAGTCACTTTGACTCCAGCCCTCCTAAACTATGCTGATGGCAGTGTAGTCAGCTGCATAAGATTAAAAGATGAATGCTAGGATTTGATGTAACTGAGCTCTGTTTTCCCCGTGTGGAAAGCAGATGTTCTTGAGCTTCCAGGTGCTGAGAAATGCTGTGTTAAACTCATGGAAGAGCTTGCCAGGTAGTTTGAAGGTAGCCAGTTTGCTCATCTTCTGGGCACTCTCCCAAGCCAGTGTTCAATGTCTGATACAAGGCAGACAAACATCTGTCAAGATTGATGTAGACTGAGCTGTTCCTGCCTTGGGGCAGGCAGGTCTAGGTAATCTCTTGAGGTCCTTTCCAGCCCTCATCTGAAACTGATTTCCTGGGGAAATGGTACTTGTACAGCCATTCTGCTTTTCTGTCCTCCCCTCCTCAACAGTTTTGGAGCCAGGTGGCCAATTTCAAGCACATTTGAACTCAGAGATACTGAATTCCTAGAGCTTCAGGAAAATCAGCAGCTGGGTAGAGAAGAAAGACCCAAATCAGTGCCTGCACTGAGAAATGCAGTTATAGCTCATTTTAGTCATTCAGAGAGGCAGCAGCCAGCTGGCCAGTCATCACAAGTAATGGCCAACCTCTGGGCACAAATGGAGCCATGAAACACCCACAGCTTGTGCTACCTTGTGCTCAGTTAATGGGATGGAGGAGGTAACTTTGGACTGGACAGGAGGGAGAGAATCACAGCAAGGTCTTAGGGGATGTGAAACACCAAGCTGGAGGGAACTGAGCTTTGTTAGCTGCTCTAACAAGTTGTTTATGATTCCATGCTTGTCTTGCCCACCCTCTATGCTGTCTGTTAACGATTCTGTTCTTTAGTTGCTTGGCAGAAGATCTGACTTAAGAGAGATCAAGCAGCAGCAACACATTGTCCAAAGTTGTCCAACTTCCTCCATCTGGTGATTTCTGGTCTAACCCTACACCCACTGTGAATTAGGAAACATTGTGAAGGAGTCCAGGAGTGTATGAGCATGTGGCAAGGATAATTGCTATGTGTGAGGGTTTGAGTGAAGGAGAACGTACACTTAAGGTTGTGTGACTGTGGGTGTACTTAAGTCCTGAGAATCACACTAGCTATGCTCAGTGTGGGAAGGAAGCAGGAAATGTACCTAGGCTGATAATCTCTGTTGCCACACATTTCTGTTGCCCTGATCTGGGCTCTGCAGTAGAATGAGTATGCAGGTTCCTGGTGTCTGTGTGTTGCTCAGGCCTTCCACTGTTCTATAGATACAGGAACAGATTTTGAAAACACAGTTTTGTTGCACTCCCTCTAGAGTTCTGACTCCTTATCTCTTTCCCTCCTGCCCACTGGCTTGAGTTTGCATGCTTATCTCTTACATCCTTTTCCTGCCCAATAAAAACCTGCTTTTGGAGCTGGATGCGCATATGTGCCTGACTGCTGACCTCTACAAAGCTTTTTACATATCGCTAGGTGTAAGCACACATTTAGCTGATTGTTGTTTGAATTAATATTCTTATTTATTTGCACTTATGGGAGAACCCTGCCATTTGGCAGACCTGACACAGTTGGGTATCACAAGTAATAGAGTAGCTGATTGTGATTGTGATGTGAGTGTGGACTGCAGCGAGATCATACTTCTCTGCACCACAAAGCCTTCAGGCAGGTTCTTGTCTGCAACTTGTACCCATGTCTGCTCAAATTTCTGGGGGTCAAAACACAAGCTGTGCTTCTGATCATGCCACAGCTCATTCCAGGGAGGAGCAAACTCATTTGTGTGTTGATTCTTGCTCAAAAGCTCCATCATAGCTTTCTTACCAGCATCAGAGAAGTAACCCCAAAGTGGCTCAGCCCAGAGAACCGCAGGAAATACTGGGCACCAGTGGCTGCAGAAAGAATGAGGTCCCAGAGCACTGTGAGAGAGGACCACATTTCCCTGGGCACGCATGCAGAGCCTTCAGACAGGGCAGTATGTGTTCCTGAGGGCAAACAGCACCCCTCTTATCCAAGCACCTCCAATTTTCTGCCAGGCCACTGTGTACAGGGGCAGCAGGCAAGCAAACTGGAAACTGCTTCCTGCCAGGCAAAGCTGAGGGTGAAGCCAAGATGAGCACCAAGACCCAGCTCTAACTATGCAGTGAAAACACACTTCACATTTTCTGCAAGAAGAGGAAACACAGAAGGGAAAAAATAAGGTAGAAAGCCTCAAAGTGATAAAGTGGTTTGCTTAGGGTCGCACAATAGGATAGCAACAGAAGTTGAACTGAGCTTTCTGGATACCTGGTTTAGTGTTATTTCAGCTCAGCTGCCTGGCTTCCAGGATGTTGTGGCTGCAGAGCCTACAGACACGCATATTCTTATTTGTATGTCTGTTGAAGTAGGTTTCTGGTTTTCACCCATGCTGGTCTATCCTCCTGGGAAGTCAAATGGAAATGCTATAGTCTATAACGATCTCATTCCCCTGGCAATGCACTGGAATCACAAGCATTTACGTTTGCTAAATATAGCAAAGAGAGACTTGTGGTTGATCAGTATTTCTCCCATTAGTGCTGTAGGTGGAACTGCACTTAATAGGAATTACACTAAATGGATATAGGAGACATGGGGATAATTGACCAAACTTGTCTTAAATGTGTTTGTGGAGAGAAAGAAGCCGCAAAATGACGGGCATTTTCCCCATTAGCCTCTATAGAAAAATTAGAAGGCACTGTGGGCCAGATTCTCAGCTAGAGGGACTTGCCATTGCCTTTTTGTCTTCACTGGAATCAAGCTGGTTTACCCCAGATGCAAACAGCATATTGGTGTTGCCTGAAATGTTAAATGTCTTAGGCTCATGGAAAAGTGAGGAAAAGACATAACTACTAGAACCACAGGTTTAGTGTCATGAGTTTGGGCTTCTAAAATAGGAGTAACTGGGCCTGCTTGCTGAATAGTAGAATTAAGGCCAATATGCCCACTAGTGTAAATGAGCGTGCAGCTCTATGGCCAGCAATAGAATTCCAAATATTATACCAGGATGTAATTTAACACTGAATATATTATTTCCTTAATATACAATGCATCACAAGCTGACAGGCTTGTTTCCCAGAAGGTATTTTTTAGTACTAGGATACCCAAACCGGCAAAATAGATGTATCTTTTCAGACTTTCCTCTTTACAAACACAAAGCTGTTCATTTAAATGAAGGGGAACTTAATGCACCGTTTACAGCTGTGCATTTTGCGCTGGTATTTGCATTCAACATTGATTCCCTTTTATTTTAAAGGAGGTAGTGACAGGATTTGTA